TTCCGTCCATCGCGCCCTCTCCTTGTCAGACATTCTCCGCACGAAACTGAACTTGGACTTTGAAATTTTACGACTAGAAACACCGATCGAATTTATCGGCTTAAACGAGGACCAGCTAAAGGCGGTCGCCATCTGCTTCGACTATAAACCTTTCCCTAGCTCTGCAACACTTTTGTTGCAGCGCACACCCACGCGTACACGCCTCCGTTTCATCGTCTTACATAATACGCGAGGAGAATTAATATCGGAACCGTTCTTTGCGCCCGGATCGCTAATTGCGCGTTCGATAAATACGAGCCAGCCGTTTCTAAGAGGGGAGTAGAATTTTACCGGGTCAGTCGTTAATGAAACGCGATTATATTTCCGGGAAAATCGTCTCTCCAGCAGGTTAGTGTACCGAACGAGGATATTCTTTTTTCATAGACCCTAGAGAAGTGGAGATTCTCATCTAATTTCAGATTCTCTCATCGAGCGTTCAAGAAAATTATGAAACTACCCGGGATAAAGTTCTTTGTTCCCTCTCTGTTTTATACAGAGTACACCACGCTTGAGGAGATAATGTTTTTGAAGCAAGATTGCGATACTTAACGCGCTCAACGTCAAAGTAACAACGCGTCAATCAATCCATCCGTCGAGCTAACCAAGTGATTAATCAAACGAGCATCTAGTGACTATTGATCGTTCAACGAAATCAATCCAATGTACTCCGCGTAACCCGGTAACGTCTCCATCAGGTGCAGAACGGCATGGTTCAGTCTGGTTGGTCGATTTCTCGACTGGAATGTAGGAGAGGGAAGCTTGTAGAGTGCAAGAGACGGCTGGTTGCAACTGCTGCCACAAGGTTTCCGTATCCGACAGCACTTGGGCCCATCTTTGTTCCCATTTCCATAGCTATTCCATTAGCGGACAGGTCTGAGCCGACCTTGTAATCTAATAACTAATCTTCCCCGGACGTACCAGCTCGGATGAGCCACGTATTTCGAGACGAAACTCGGCAAGAGCGACGGCCGAGTTACAGGATGTTCGAAAAGCAACGATGTCGTAACTGAAGTTTCTTTTCCCCCCCGTTTCCTGTGAACTGTACTAATTTTCTAGAGTTTCGTTACGAAAGCAACTTAAAAATGAAAAAGTCTTTCTTACGGTTCGCGATGTCGTAATGTTTACAATCGCATTCAGAGAGCAGGTATAGAGCCACGAAGGAAGCCTGTTGGCAAGAAACACTGCTATCGCTAACCCAGAGAAGACCTTTCAACGTTTAAAGCACACCGTTGCCTGTTTTCTTTACGAAACTAACATTTCTCTCGCCGTTTGAAAGCTCCTTCGTCTCTCGGTTAACTATCATTGCGACACGGAAGTCGTCCTTCGAACAGGAACTGGACTACTCGATCCGTCGGAATCGAGTACTAATCGTTCTTCTTCTCGTTATTTTTCCGTTTCGAACGGAAAACGAGCACGGAAGAAGAAAATGCAGCGGAGAATTTGAAAGCAGTTGGTTTTGCAATTCATGAGTCACTAATTACTCGGCGGGCTGTCGTTATAGAAGGAAAGCGAAGGAGCGGTGCGCCGCGACGCGGCGGGACTTATCGATTCAGAGGAAAATTCGGCGACCGGCGCCCAGCGCCAGCCAACCGGGGCAAGGGCGGAATGTACAATTTAAAGGGAAACGACGGACCCGCAACGGAGCAAGACGTTTAAGTCATTAATTGCATTAAGTAAAGTGCCGTCGCGTCGCCAGGCTGAGAGACGCGGGAGAGCTCTCGCCTAAACGAGACGGATAGAGGAAGCTCCGCGGAAATTTGACCGGGAATTTAACGAGACGCGACCGGAGTTTCGAAGCTACTGAAAATCAGAGGATATTAAAGTAGGCGTGCCAAACTTACGACCCTGGAACCTTTTAATATTTGATCGCGAAAGCCGTTACTCAGTGTGTGTACAGTCGGAAAGAATTCAGCAGAAATTCTCGTTTCATTTTTCCGCATCGAGGTATTTTGCGTAAATTATTTGCCATAATTTCACGTTTACTGGTTCGCGATAGTGATTTCCACCTATCCGAACGTTTTTCAGCCCACTTTTTTTCCGCAGCTCGTTTAAATATCGAAAATGTAGAGAATCTTGGGTTGCGATGCGAGTAAACGGGCGAAAATCGATAAGTCTGGTACGACATGGAAGCGTAAAATATCCGGTTAGCCGCTAATCGAATATCCAGAGCGAGTTCGGGCGGAAATCGCGACGGAAATCTTGGATCAGGCAGACGTTCATCTGGATCGCAGAGGAAGAACACCGAGTGCCGTCTCCGAAGGACGCTACGGTCACCCTCGATCTTCTCCTCCGAGTCGTCAAGGACGAAAATTCAATTTCCCGCTATCCGAACCGTGGCACACGAACGCTGGCAAACTTGCTTTTCCCTCCAACGTGTTTCATCGTCCGACGGAAGTGGAGTGTTTCACGTTACAGGAAGAAGACATCGGACGACGGCCACTCGGCACGAAGACTCGGGCAAAAATAAATGAAGAAATAAAAGAATTTGCAATTTATAAAGATTGTTCCGAAAGTTGATGAACGCAAATGAAAGGAAGAGAGTTTAAATTTTCCAGAAGTAAAGCTGGATCTTGGAACAGCTTGCGGAAAATGGCAGAGTAGCAAGAAACTCGTACGACCCCTCCAAGTACCCATCTCAATGGAAAGCAAACAACGGAACGCAATGTTTTCCAAACAAAGTTTGCGATTGCTTCAAAGCGGGGGATCAAACCGGATGTACGTAGCTTCCTGATCACAGGTGGTACATCTCTTGGCTACTAATTAGTCAGGCTATCCGGCAATTACAGCAGCTCGAGGAGAAGGCAAATTAGAGATGACGGATGGAAGCGGGATGAACCGTTTGCCAAATATTTGCTGGCCAACAATGATTAGCTTAATTCCACTTCGGCCTTCCGTTCGCTTCCGTGATCGCTCCGGAACATCCTATTCTTCTCTAGAAGCATTTTCAGATACTCTATCACTTCCCAGCCGAAAGTTATACAAATTTTTTAATTTTTCAACAGAGCGAATCGCTTTTCTTTCTGTCTTTGTATACGCGAGCAAAAGTTTGTTCCGTGAACAATTGCCTGTACCCTGGACTACCCTTTAAAGTTTCGCGGGTATCGTTTGCAGACAGCAATGAACGCAAATATAACTTTGAAGATTCCAATATCTGACTCGAATTCAACGGGTGTTGAAAACGTATCTATACGTTTGCAAACTTTCCATCTGACCCGTCATTTTGTCTACCTGCGGAACCCAAGGAATTTTTCGACGCCAGCTATTTAACGGAATTCTCCGAATAATCAGCTTAGTTGATGGAAACGTTTAATAGCCTTAACGAGCGAGTGTTTTGAGAAGAGGATCATTAATCTATCGGAGCACCCGCCTCTTAAGTGAATTACTTTGAAACAACTTCTCGAAGGAAAGTCTTTCTGCTCTACTTTTCGAAAACGTTCAACTACGATGAAAGCTGTCTATATACAGCGGAGCGTTGCCACTTTCCGAGGACATATATAGAGCGGTAAGCGTTGAAAATTCGAGACGAGCCGATCGTTCGAAGCGAGAAAGAATGATAGTAAAGCGGAGATTAATTTGAGAGCGAAGGAAAGGAGGGCAACGGAAAGGATTCTTTCAATTAGTTTGTCGAGTCGAGGTCGCAGACAATCAAGTCTCCTCTCGGACGTCTGCTACTCTAATGATCGCTAAAGTCGAGAGAGAAACGTTGGATGGTCCCTCCATTATGCGGAAACTTTAACGCATCCATATTGATAAGCTTGCTCTCGACTCTTCCGCAACATCTACTTCGCAAAGGCTTTCGAATAAATTCAGGTACGTCCTGTGGAAAAGTTGCGAGGCTTGCTAGCAACGGAAAAAACATATCATGATACTATTTCTATCATTTGAAATTAGTAGAGGTGTGCGAGTACTCGAAATTTACAAGCCGAGCTGAACTCGCTTCGATTGTTCGAGCCGAATTACTCGAAATCGACGAACTGTTTGAAACAAAAGCGAGCTACTCGAAAAAATCGAACTTCGATTTACTTGAAGATGAATTTTCAGCTCGAATCTTCGAGTAGCTCGCTTTTGTTTCAAACAGTTCGTCGATTTAGAGTAATTCGGCGAATTCATGCGCTCGACTCGCCTCGACCGACCGATCATTGTTTCACTCGAAATTTGTTGCGTTGCAACAAAGCATATGAACCCATCCAAAATTTTCTATATACGTTACTGTGAGAATTACCAGGTAAAACCTATCCATACAAAACCAAACGTTTCCCAAAGCGGTCAAAAGACATTCTAATAAGCATCGTTCTTCGAAACGGAACGCTGTCAAATTCAACGTAGAAATAAACGATTCAAACTGTTAAAGTTAAACGTAGTTAAACGTTATTCGTGGCATTCTACTTATTTCTTCGCACCACCCACAAATATTCGAGTAATATTAATTTATCACTCGAAGCGTACGAGTATTACCACATATCCGCACGCACCTGAACATGGTCCTTCGAGCCGGATCTCTACGGTTATAGTGAAGATTCAAAAAAACGGCAAACAATATATTGGTGCATTGGACAATACTACAAGGAATACCACGAGTGCCTACACCGTATAAAACGATATCAGGCGAACCAAACATCTGAACGGACATCCCATTTCGGAGAGCAGCCGTCGGATTTCTTTGGTCGTCAAGGAGCAGAATCAATATCATTACAAGCTATTTGTCACTAAGCTTCTAATACGGACATCCCATGGGAAAGCAGCCATTGGAGCAGTGACATACGCAACGAACGACGTCATTCAAGTGGACAACAAATCCAGTTATCATCAAATCAACATAGCATTACCAGCTGTGGACAACTACATCATCGTAGCAGAACTCAACATCAAAGTAAGCTCAAGAATCTCCACTCATTCACTCCTTACACGTATTAACATCCTTCCTATAATAGAGGATTCGATTTCGATTATTTTCTTCGAAAATGGCACAGTCAGAAAATTTAAAAACTTTAATCAAAACACGCGGTAGTCTTAAATCTAACGTCACGCGGTTAATAACATATCTTAATGCGCACCCAGATGCGGAGATTGATGATATCCAGAATCGTAAAATAAAATTAGAGGAGGGCTATGAAGCCTTTTCCAAAACACAATTACAAATTGAAATCTTAGCAGAGAAGGAGAAGCATACCGATATGGATCATGAAGCTCACAGATCGCAGTTTGATGATCAATATTTTGCTTGCGCTAAAATAATAAGTAAACGTCTTCGCGAAATAAACTCGGTGATATCGCCAATAGCTAGCACGTCGCCATCAACGTCAGCTACTCCTTCTATGCCAATAACTATAAAACAAGCTAATAATTTGTTGCCCAAAATAGAGATCCGTCCTTATGATGGAAATCCTATTAATTGGTACTCTTTTCATGACACCTTTAAGAATTTAGTTCATGATAACGATGAATTGTTACCAGTTCACAAATTTTATTTACTGCAAAATGCACTTCAAGGTCCGTTAACTTCAATAACAGAAAATCTAAATGCTTCAGAGGAGAATTATTTGGTGGCTTGGAATACGTTGAAACAAAGATGTAATAAACCGCGACAAATCATTCATACTCATCTACAATTATTATTAGAGCTTCCAGAAATTCATCGCGAAACTCCTACTAATCTACGTTCTTTGGTAGAAAAAACACAAGTTCATATAAATGCATTAAGGGCTTTGAAGCAACCAGTTGATAAGTGGGATGCATTACTGATTTATATTGTAGTAAAGAAACTAGATAAGGGTACGCGTCGCGCTTGGGAGCGTACGTTAGAAGACGAGGAAATGCCCGCTTTTCAAAAATTATTAGATTTTCTTAGTAAACAAGCACGTGGCGACGATTTCGATACAATTTCCTTTGATTCAAATAAATCAAACAGTCATTTTAATAATCACACCTCGAAAATGCCAAATAAGAAACGACCCAATCAAATACAATCACACGTAGGTACGCAGGCGCACTTTCAATGTCCTGCTTGTAGTCAAAATCATGCGATTTATACATGTAACAAGTTTTTGCAATTAAATCCAAAGGAACGTTTCGAATTAGCAAGAAGGGCAAAATTATGTTTAAATTGCTTGCGAGGTAATCATCAGACAAATAAATGCTATCTTAGCGGTTGTAAGACATGCAATCATAAGCATAATACGCTTTTGCATTTTACTGATACGAACAATCCGCGTAACCATCCAACTAATAATTCAATCGAATCAAACGATCAAAATATAAAAGAACAGCCAACAGTAAATTTAGTTGTATCATCTGATTCAGAGGTGTTGTTAGGTACGGCATCGATTAAAATATTAGATAAAGACAAAAATGAAATTCCGTGTAGAGTATTGCTAGACGGAGGTTCTCAAACGCATTTCATAACAGAAAGATTAGCTGATCGTTTAAAACTAAATAAAACTATGATCAATTTGCCATTCTCAGGCTTAGGTCAAAATTTAACTAAGTCGCAGTACACGGTTAAAACAACCATCAAATCACGAACATCTCCTTTTTCGTGTGATCTAACATTAGTGGCCTTACCCACTATAACTGGGTTGCTACCCTCTCGAAAAATTGACAAAGACAATCTGTCTATTCCTAAAAATATTTCGTTAGCTGATCCGAACTTTCATAAATCAGCCGAGATCGATGCATTGCTCGGCAATACTTTGTTTTATCAGCTGCTAAGCGTAGGACAAATCAAATTGTGTAATGATTCAATTATATTACAAAAAACGCGACTAGGTTGGATTGTAACGGGAGAAGTCAATCTTCTAAATAATCACCTCAACAAAGCTAGGTCATGTTTTGTGACAACCGCGCTTGAAAACCAATTAAACAAATTTTGGGAGGTTGAGGAAATTCCTAATAAAAAATATTTTTCAAGTGAGGAATCAGCATGTGAGACACACTTTAGTCAAAATATTAAGCGAAATTTAGACGGGAGGTACGTAGTAAGGTTGCCATTCAATGAAAAAAGGGATAGTATCGGGGAATCACACAGAATGGCTTTAAAACGGTTTTACTCTTTGGAGAAGAGGTTGGAATTAAGTTCAGAATTAAAAAATCAATATAGTGTCTTCTTAAGGGAGTATGTAGAATTAAAACATATGACCGATATAACAAATACAGATGACAAGCAAGTAGGTTACTATTTACCACATCACGCGGTAATAAAAGAATCAAGCGCAACGACAAAGGTTCGCGTAGTGTTTGATGGATCCGCGAAAACATCGACAAGTATTTCTTTAAACGACGCATTAATGCAAGGTCCTACAATTCAGGACGATTTGATTTCTATAATCATCCGTTTTCGAACACATCAATTCGTTTTAACAGCTGACATTGAGAAAATGTTTCGGCAAATTCAGGTACATCCAGATGACGCGAAATTTCAAAAAATTCTTTGGCGGGAAAACAAGACTGAACCAATTAAAACGTATATGCTAAACACGGTTACATATGGGACTACTTCAGCCCCATTTCTCGCGGTTCGTTGCTTGAAACAAATAATTAAAGATGACGGACATAAATATCCTTTAGCCGCGACAGTACTCGATCGTGATTTTTATGTAGATGACTTACTCACTGGTACGAACGATTTGAATCAAGCTTGCCTTTTAATAGATCAACTAACTAAATTACTAAATTTAGGGGGTTTCAACCTACGTCAGTGGCTTTCAAATGAACCGAAACTTCTAAATAAATTGAAAAATTCCTCCGCGTCACAACTTGTATGTTTAGACGTGACGGAAACAAAAAAGGTTCTCGGAATACAATGGGATCCCCATGCAGACACTATTAACTATAAGGTAAATCCCTTTAGTTCGCATAAAGTCGTCTCAAAACGTACAATTTTGTCTGAGATTGCTCAACTATTTGACCCTTTAGGTTTATTAGGTCCCGTAATAATTCAGGCCAAATTAGTTATGCAGAAATTATGGATGGCCAATTTAAATTGGGATGAATCAGTCCCACAGTCAATTCATACCGAATGGTTCAATTATAAAAACCAATTACCATTGTTAAACAATTTTACTGTACATCGGAAGGTTGTTTTAAATAATGCAGTAGAAATACAGTTACATGGGTTCTGTGACGCCAGCGAAAAGGGTTATGGCGCGTGTTTTTACATAAGATCAACGAATAAAGTGAATAATCATTTAGTAGGTTTGGTATGCGCGAAGTCGCGCGTTGCACCTATAAAAACAATATCTTTGCCTAGGTTAGAGCTTTGTGCTGCTAAGTTATTAGCAAATTTATACAAATCCGTGGTAGAAGCATTAAACTTAAGATTCAACAAGATTAACTTTTATTCTGATTCAACTATTGCATTAAATTGGATTAAAACGTCACCCCATATCTTAAAAACTTTCGAAGCAAATCGTGTCTCTGAAATACAAACGCTTACGGATAGGGATAATTGGTATCATGTATCGACAAACGACAATCCCGCGGATTTTATATCTCGTGGTCAAAATCCTTCGGACTTTATTAAAAATACACTTTGGGTAAATGGGCCTACGTGGCTGTCTATGGAAGAACATTGCTGGAAAATCACTAAACTATCGACGAGTGATAGCGCAAATCATCAAGCCAATGTGACCTTTGTTACATTAGACCAGAATTGTAATCGGAATAAGGTTGCAAATGACACTTTTGAAAGGTTCTCATCCATTAATGCACTAAATCGTTTCGTTGCCCTTTGCCATCGAGCAATTGTGAATAGAAGCTCAAGCAATAAAATCACAGGTGAAATTACCACGAAGGAGTTACATAATGCTCATTTACAAATAATAAGGGTAGTCCAAGAAAGTGAATTCTCTCAAGAATTACAATGTTTACGAAAGGGCGAGGAACTCAATAATAAAAGTAGGTTGTTGCGATTAGATCCTTTTATAGATGAATTGGGAATTCTTCGTGTAGGAGGTAGATTGGGAAATGCAGATATAAATTATTCACATAAACATCCTATTCTATTACCAAGAAACAATCATATTACTGACATAATAATACGTCATGTACATATAAAATATTGGCATACAGGAGTTCAAAATACGTTAGCTATTGTCAGACAAAATTACTGGCCTATTGATGGCAAAAATAGGACGAGATACGTCTTACATAAATGCATTTCTTGTTGTAAATTAAACCACAAGCCACCAAATTATCCAATGGGCATTTTACCTAAAAATCGTTTAAAACAATCTAGACCTTTCGAAAATGCAGGGCTAGATTACTGCGGTCCTTTTCTTATCAAGGAGAAAAAATTTAGAAATAAAGTAAAGATAAAGTCTTATGTAGTCGTCTTTGTTTGTTTTTCAACGAAGGCCGTACATTTGGAGCTGGTTACAGATCTAACCACCGAAACATGCTTAGCAGCTATTAAACGTTTTTTCGGTCGCAGAGGTAAATCAAAAAATCTCTATTCTGATAATGGAACAAATTTTGTTGGCGCCAAGAATGAAATATTGAAAATAAAGGCTTTGCTATTATCCTCTAATCATAATGATAGAATCACGCACGATTTATCAAATGAAGGTGTCAACTGGCATTTTTCACCACCCCAATCGCCCCACTTTGGAGGCTTATGGGAGGCTGGCGTTAAACAATTCAAATATCACTTATATCGCACTGTTGGCGATTCCCTGTTTACTTATGAACAATTTAATACTTTTATCATCGAAATCGAATCAATATTAAATTCCCGTCCTCTAACACCATTATCCTCGGATCCCAATGACTTTTCAGCCCTTACCCCAGCTCACTTTTTGATTGGAGATTCACTAATGAGCATACCAGAACATGACTTCCAGGATGTACCAACAAATAGATTATCATTGTGGCAACACATTGTCAAGGTGAAGCAACATTTTTGGAAAAGATGGCATAGGGAGTACTTTAATGAACTGCTACTACGTAGTAAATGGCACAAAGGTGATCCCGAACAGATAAAAATTGATACACTGGTCACCATTAAGGAAGATAACATCCCACCTATGCACTGGAGCATGGGACGCATCATAGCCGTTCATCCAGGCGAAGATAAGATTATTCGTGTAGCAACCGTGAAAACAAATCGCGGAATATACAAACGATGCATCAAAAAACTATGTCCATTACCGATTGAGATACCTGAAAGGGATTGACCAATATAGTCTTATATGTATAATTGTTAACCTGTCAACTACCGCTTTAGTAGTTGTCCTATTCATACTTTTAAGATTACTAATATTATAAACTTGTATTAAGTATGTAGCGTATAGTTATACCTTCCAGCTATTAATGAACTTTATAAAGTATCTTATTCACTTAGCATATGTATATATCTTTAGAGTCAAATTCACAATGCTGTTCCGCCTTTTCGAGTCCCCACAGTGGTTTTTGATTGGCGAGGATAAAATATCTATGTATATTCAATTGTTATAGAACACAGATCAACTTTGAACGCGAATCGTTCAAGGCGGGCGACGTGTTGCGTTGCAACAAAGCATATGAACCCATCCAAAATTTTCTATATACGTTACTGTGAGAATTACCAGGTAAAACCTATCCATACAAAACCAAACGTTTCCCAAAGCGGTCAAAAGACATTCTAATAAGCATCGTTCTTCGAAACGGAACGCTGTCAAATTCAACGTAGAAATAAACGATTCAAACTGTTAAAGTTAAACGTAGTTAAACGTTATTCGTGGCATTCTACTTATTTCTTCGCACCACCCACAAATATTCGAGTAATATTAATTTATCACTCGAAGCGTACGAGTATTACCACATATCCGCACGCACTGAACAAAATTCGAGTACTCGAATAAATCGAGAACGCTTAATTGTCGCTTACGACGCGTTAGCGGTTCAGCTTTGGGAGAGACGTAAAATTTCCCATTTCGATGGTAACGATTTAAACGATTCGGCCGAAATCTCGTGGTAATTGAAGGAGGAAAGCTAGTAAATTCTGGAAAAGTTTTCGTGCTACCGGACCGCTTCGAGGGCAGACAATGAGTAACGAGTTTCGGGCCATTAGAGGAAATGGAAGACGAAATAACTGGCCGGACACGGTTCCCTCTTAAAAACTCGATGGAGAACGAAGAGCCAGACGATTTCCTCTTTCCATTCGGCACGTAACGTCTCTGGCGAATATACTTCGAAAGAAATTACGATTCTGTACACCGGTTTGCGATATACGAGTATTTTTAAAACCTTCCTCGCTCACCAATCACGTGCGACACGATCGCTTTGGTCGCTCGGTTGACCAACAGCCATCGGCCAATAGGCGATTTGTAGCTGAAGGAAGATTAATCGATACATTCTGTCACGAGCATCGACAGAAATCTGGGTCGTTCTTTGAAAGCAACCGGGACAAGAAGAGATTGATCGAAGATCGAAAGATGGGCTAAGAATTTACATAAGTGCTTAAGTAGCTGGCACTCCGAGGGCCGAGCATCTCGAGAAGTTAAGTTCCTACGGAAAACGGAAGAAACTTTCAGTTCTTGTAATGAGCTCGACATTTTTTCTTTCTCTCGACTTACCGGATGACTCGGCGAGCCTCTTACCGAGCGAAGCTCCTCTACGCTTCGACAAACGTCGTCGAAGAACGAAGAAGTCGAGCGGTCAGAAGAAACGAAGATGAACTCTCCGAATACGCGATTACTTTTTAATCGTTTCGAACTGGAAGAGGATTAATAAAAAAAAAAAAGGAAGAAACGGGGCAGACAGGAAGAGAAGAGCGGAAAGTACTTTTAACCGGAAAGAAAGTTTCGGCTCGTGTTTCCGACATTTCGTCGCGGACGACCCTTCTACTCCATGGACGCGGCGAGTTAAAAAGTTAAACGTAAGTTTTATAGGGAATCGATTGGACTCGATCGGACTCGATTGATGAATATCGGCTACCCTAACTTCCCCGTGCCTCTGGAGACCTTACTTCGAATTAATGGCCAACTATTCGACTTAAGAATCTACAAACACGACGCTGCTTCGCTGCTAGTTAATTTTGTTTGCAACAGCAAAGCAAGGCAAGTTTAATTATTTCAGGTGATTTACTGTCGCTGAGTGTACGAAGATTGTTTCACCAGCTGAGCGCCGGTGTAAAAAGTTATACATCAAAGTCACGAATACGTGACACTACGTCGCGGTGTTATGTTATAAATCGAACGTGCTTATCCATTTCGTCCGGAAGCAATAGCGTGTTAATAATTCGAATTTAATGCGCAGAAATATCGACGAGGTAAACACTTTGATTCGACGACGTTTAGGACGCTTAGCGTCGAATAAAAACGGTTCACGTGTTAAACGCGAAACTTGCTTCTAAACGATGTCCAAGTGGAAAAGAGGTAAATCTCAATTTCAGCCGTTTCACGCGATAGCCGTCAACGAGGAATGATAAACGACGCTCGATTAGCTTGAATTAACATTTTTCCAGAAAACTCGACAACATCGATCGAAGTTATTCATGACGGGGTAGCTCGATTAATTCGCCGACAGGGTACTTTCGAAGAGAAAAAAAAAAACAAAGGAAGAAGAAGATGAAAAAAAAGGATTGCAAGCGTGTTTCAACTCGCACTTTTTCGCAATTCATCGTCGAGGACATGCGTGGCCCACTTCTCCCTAATTCATTTAAGGTGACCGCGAAGGGTGTTCATTTTTCACATGTTCGTGACTCCGGCCACTGCGAAGGAGACAGTCCATTTATCTTGTAAACATAAAGGGACATTCCTTTGTAATCTACGCATCTATACTACCTCGCCACGCGTGTATCTCTGGCATTCTACAATCGTTTTTTTTTTTTTTCGTCACCCTCATTCATTATCAGCGAGCTGTACCGCAAACCCCTAAATGGTACGCGTTGACCTTCCTCGACAATGACCAGTCACACCCCTATGATAAATTACCGCGCAAACGAGCTAGAACAATTAATTCCTTTTTCAACCTTACCCTTCGACAACACGGAGATTTCAATTGAAAAATTCAAATTGAAAAGTTACACGAATTCCATAAATGTTTAATTAAATTCGACAAAGATGGATCGCAGATTAACGATAATCGTGTTCGTCGACAGTTTCCAAGAGAAGCAGATTCTACCATCCTGTCGGAGGCTCTTTGATGAAAATAGTAGCGCTTAATTGGAATAATGGAATCGTTCTGGAAAAATGGTCAGCTGTAAAAAAAAAAAAAGGGAATTTTCGCTTGAACCGTTGGAAGGAAGCATCCACACATGGTCTCTCGTTTTTGGAAACGTGTTCCCTCGCTCGGCTGGAAAAAAGCGTTCCGTCGGTTAATCCGACGGGTCCAGCGAGAGCTTCGAATTAAATCCCTCCCCGCATAATGATTTTCCTCCGGCTGGCGGCGAAAATTTCGCGATAATTCGAATTTCGTTGAATTGTTCCAACATTTCGCGTAGCCGTAAGTGGCGCGAGGGATTATCTGCTTGGAAACTGTCGCGGCTTTTCTATGAATCGTTTAAATAGCTCACCGACGTCGAATGGCTGCAATGAAAATGCACCGTACCTGCAACAGACAAAGAAAATAACAAATTATCATTTAATCTCCGAGTTCAACCCGTGTCGCATTCAGATGTTTTTTTAAAAAAATAAAAGGTTTGCATGCAATTTATAAAATATTATAGCTGCAAAAGTACTGTCAGCAGACTGTATAAAAAGCTATGAACGAAGAGAAATGTCTACTTTCTAGCAGCAGACAACTTTAGACGCGTTAAATTCGAACGTTTCTCGGTCAAACTTTTGAAATTACTGTTTGGTAAAGGGTGAAATAGAGAAGAATGGCCTCTGGTCCCTTCATAACTCGCTGCAAAACTTGCAAGCATTATTTCTCAGTCGAAGCTTATTGTCTCTTAAAAGGAACGATCAGTCAGCCTCCGGGCGAACTCGTCTCGTTCCAAGCAACTTTTCTCTCTCCCATCTCTTCTTCACTTTCTCTTATTTGCTTATATTTTTCTTCCAACAAATAGATCCTTCTTCCCGAACGAAACTTTGTCGACGCCCTCGAGACGTCCGCGCGACTTTTGGTCCCTTAAAAAAGGAACAGGACTCTCGGATATTATTCTCCCAGGAGATAGTACTCGTCTTTGGTTTCGTTACTTTGCGACGGTGTTTCCGGACGAAAAAATCATCAATTATAATCCGGATCTGTTTCTCTTGAAGATGCTATCTCGAATCTTCGACCGTCTCCGCTAAAACTTCATTAAACGTTTATCACTTTAATGGCCTGCCAGCTGTGAAATAGTGGCGCTGATTTTTAAACCGTTCCACGTCCAGTTGACCCAAAAACGTATTAAGTTCCTCAATTTTCCTCTGTTTTTTATCTCTCCCTCTTCCCGTCCTCGCCGCTCTCGCGTTGCGGATAGCATTGAAAAATTTAGACAGGCAACGATTCAGATAGGAACGATATTTTCCGCAGAGTACCGTTTTAATGGCAAATTGCGATTCCAACTAAAGACCCTCGACCCTCTGTTGAGAGTGGTACACAGAACGCTTCAAAATTCATTAGAAACTTTCGTCGAAAGAAGCTCTCGAGAATCGAAGTTTAATTGAAAGTTCGTTCCAGAAAGAAAATACGTTCCCTGAGTTTGCGGGCAATTTTCGTGGGGGAAACGCTTAATCATTCCACATCGGGACAGTTTTGGGAAGAATTTTGCAAGTCTGCCGACTTGCTTTTCCTCTTGATCTCTTTTGATTGATTTAAAAAAAAAAAAAGAATTGAATCAAAGTGAGAATAAAAATTGGGTCTTTTCAGATGTCAGTCTGAGGTGCAGTGAAAGAGGGACTGGTGAAACAGGCAGGATTATAATACCTATAATACCTAATCTCGTCTAAGGGTGTCTGGGAGCCCCTAAATCATGACCCCTCGAAAACGAAGGCACGTCCAGTTTTTTGCATCTGTAGCCATTACGGTAAGTAATTATCTACTGTGTTTTACTTTTAACAACCATCCGTGGGACCAGGTGTTGTTCATTTCATGAAAACGTTTTCTCGGTCCCTCGAGCCAACTCTGTTCGCAGCGACGATTCGCTACCATGTCTACAGCTTGTTTTTTAACACCAAATTCGTCCCAGAGGAATAAAACGCTGTTGCTTAAAATTATCGACGATACTTTGCAAGAATCTTATCTTCGTTGTTCGAGGCAAGGACAGTCA